CTTGCCTAGTATTTTTAATTGTTTATTCACTTCAACTCTTTTCTCTTCTGTTACTGTTTGTGTTTTTTTAGCTTTTGTCTGCCTAATTAATTTTTATAATTTGACAATGCTTTCTTCTTGTTACTGTTTCTTCTGACTTCTTCTTCTGTTAGTTATTGTATTAAATACTTTTTTCTTGTGTATATGTTTATTTGCTGCTGTAATAATAGCTTTCTCTATTATATCCCATATATTGTTTATCTTCTCTACTTTTCTCTCTTTACTATATTCTTTCTTGTGAATATCTTTCATAACCTTTTTAGTTTCCAAATGATTCTGTATCTCTTGTACATAGTTTTTCCAATCTTCTAGCTTTGCTTAATCATATAAGTATATTGTTCTTAACTGCCTCTTTCTTTTAATCTTTGCCTTACTTTTGACTGCTATCATGTGTTTGATCCATATTTCTGCTATTACTATCTTATGATCACTCTTTGTAATCTTTTCTACCTCTTTAACTTCTGTCTTTTGTAAGCCTAAGACTAAACCATCTGATATCCATATATAGTCAATTCTTGTTGCTGCTTCTCTATTTGACTATGTGTATTGCTGACTTGTTGGGTTCAAGTCTCTATATGTATCTCTAAAGTCTTGTTTCTTCATCTAATTAAAAATTGGCAGCCTTTTGTAGTTTGTTGTTTGTGGATGTTGTCTGTCTAAGATATTGTCTACTATGTGATTAAAATCACCCATTATGATGATTTGTGTTTGCCTCTTCCTCTTTAGGACTGTTTTTATAATTTTTTGTTGAATATTTCTTCCTATTACCTTATCGTTTAGTGATATATATACTGTAATTACAACTAGTTCTAATTGTTTGAGATATAGTGTAATCTTCATCATATATTTGCTTATTCTTTTAACTGCACCTATGTGTTTTTCACACTGTTCATCAATTATAATCCCAATGCCTGAACCTTTCTTCTTATCTTCAGCTGCATTTGTCCAAAACCTTACATATCTTCTGCCTGCTGCATATGTTAAGAATTTTTCTTCTCTTTTTGTAAAGTTTGTCTCTATAATTCCCATTATTGTGATTTCTTTTTCTTCTGCCCAGCTGAGTAGATTTTCCAATTTCCAACTCTTGGTTTTGAGTCCATTAATATTATGACATGTCAGCTTTATTTTTTTTTTTCTTTCTTTCTATTTTTCTTTTAGTAATTTCTATACCATTTCTGTACTATTAACTTTTTCCTTCTCCTAACCTTCCTGTTTTCTTTCTGACAAGGAGTTTTTTCTCTTTTTTCTTTGAAAACCTTTCACTCATTCTGTAAAAATTCTTTGATCTCCTTGTTTATATTCATTGATTTAACTATAGCACTGTTAGGAGTGATTGGTGATGTCTTTTTCTGACTTCTATTTTACCTCATTTTGTTGTGTTTTAAGTCTTTCTAGTCTTTCGAGAATTTTTTCCAAAAGGTTCTAGTTCTGTGTCTGTATATCTTCTTTCTCTGCATTAACATTTCTATCACCTAACTATTCTACTATGTCTTGTATTTGAGGATTTTTTCTTATTTCTATATGTCTTTTGTTTGAGTTTTGACTTCTTTTGTTTTAGCTTTTCTCTTTTTTTTTATCAGTGTTCCTATTCTCTAAACTTTCTTCCTCTATTTCTGTATATTTTCTGCTCGAATTTTGGGTTATTTTGTCCCAATTTCTTCTTCTTTTTTTTTGAGAACCTTTACTTCTTTTAAATTCTTTTCTCCTTTCATTTGACCAGAATACATGAAAGTTATTGTATATAATTGGTCTTAATTGAGCTATTTCTTTTTCTTTTTCTGTTGCAAATAAAATTATTGCAGTTCTTCTTTGGTTTTCATTTCTATTCGGTGGAATGTACACTGATTTTGCACCTTTATTTCTCAAACATTGTAATAGCAAGACTTCTGAAACATTACTTGGTAGCTCTGTTAATTTTGCTGTATACTGCCTTTGTTTTTGTCTTGCTTTGTGATCTTCTTTTTCTTCTGTTACTCTTACCAGTTTATGGTTATCAACTGGTATGGACCAAGGAGTACTTCTTTTTCCTGATTCTTCTACTTGAATTATTGCAAGAGCCTTGTATTTGAACCTTTTAATTTCTATTATTTGTACATTTTTGATTCTTCTGCATATATATTCGAGTTCCTTCTTATTTATGTCTACTGGCAGGTTTCCAATTGTTATATGTTTTGTATTTCTTGCTTCTTCTTCTTTAGAGTCTGTATTTTCTTCTTTTTCTTGAATTTCTTCTTTTTTATAACTCTTTTTCTTATATTCTGTTGTTTTGTCTTTTCTGTTTTAGTATTCGTTATTGTATTTCTTTTGTTCTGTTCTTCTTCTTTTTTTGTCTTCTTCTGATATTATTCTATACCAATCACTTTCTTTTTTACTTATTTTTTGTATTGCTTCGTTTTTACTAAACTCGTAGTCAAAGTCAACCTCAATCCACAAATTTCTTCGTTTGAAGATTTCTTTAATGTTTTTAACATATTCATTGTCTTTTATTGACCACTTGATAAACTTTACACATTCTTCTTCTGTTTTTCTCAACACATTGTGTGCTGGTATATTTGCAAGTAAGTTGTTGTCTTTATTGCAACTTCTTCTGCTTGGTGCCCATATGCTTTCTTCTAATAGAATTTCTATCATATCTATTTCTCTATCTACAATCTGTTTTCTTCTTTTCTGTCTTTTTTTTTTTTCTGATGTTGAACCTTGTCTTGATTCTTTTTCATCCATTTCTATATCTTCTTGTTCTGTTTTTTTTGTTTGCTCTTTTCTTGATTCTTTTTCTTGTATTGGTGGTTCTTCTTCTAGTTGGTCTGCATTTTTAATACTTACCTTTATTTTTGTTTTTCTTTTTGTAGTAAAGTCTACTTCTTGTAATCTTTTTTTGCTTGTGTTGTTCTCTTCTATCTTCCTTTTGATTCCTTTTTCTACCTCTTGTTCATCTTCTTGCTTTATTTCTTTTTTACTTATTTCTTGTTGTACTATTTCTTTATTCTCTTGTTCTTGAGTTTTTTCAAAATCAATTTGCATTGTATTTTTGTCTGCTTCTGTAAAGTTAAGCTTCTTTTCTGGTTGTTCTCTTTCTGCTCTTTCGATTAATTCTCTAGTTTTCCTTAATAGTGCAACTTCTGCTAGACTTTGCTCTATAAACATGACTACAATTTTATCTTTTCTGTCTGATATTACATATATACTATTTGATTAATTAAAGAATATTTTATTATGTATTCTGTACATTGTCCAGTATGCTCTTTTCATAAATATTGTTGAATGACTTTCTCTACGCTCTATTAATTCCATATTCTATTTATATCTGTACTCTTCTGATTGGTTCTTTGTTACTTTGCTTATCTATTTATAGAATTTATATATATCAATATAAGATTTGCATATCTATTCTACTTTAACAATTTGCACATGTCTGTTGTTGTTTTGCTATTATGTGTTTTGTATAATATAAACAGATCTACATTACAGGGTCTAATGTCAATTCTCTATTACTGTTATTTTCAAATGAGTTTTTTGCTTTTCTTTAATAACTATGCTATTATTCTTTGCAAATAGACTTTTCTTTTATTAGTCTATTGCTTTCTTTGTTGCTGCTTCTTTCTGCTTAGAGTTACTTGAGGTGTTTTCTATTGCTGTTTTTGCTAAAATTTATATTTTTTCTTTAGTGATTTTTGTGTCTGAGTGATTGACAGAAAGAGTGTTGAATTTAGATTTGGATACTTGATTTTTTTTAAAGTCTATATATAATAAGAAAAAGAATATCTTTTGATGTCTTTTTTATAAAACATTTTTTTTAGATTATTAACTAAGATATATTGAATTAACTAAGACAGAAAATTGTATTTAATATTCAGATGAGTTACAAACTACAGAACATTTTATTTTAGAATGTCCTACATAGAAGCATAATAATCTGATAGAAAACTTATAGTTTCCTTAATATTGACAAAGAAATAATTATACCAACCTAAATAGATGACATCTGTCAAGCTTCTATTAATACTTGCCCTTAAGCCTCAACAGCTTTGACCTGATTACACATAATTACAATCTATGAGGTCGGATGCTGATACATCTCTGTAAAATGGAAAAATTTAGATACACCTCTCGACTTTCTAAGCTCCCTTGTTAGAAATCATATTTTGAAGAAAATACAAATTCTAAAGAACAACCTTTTTAGTATTAGATCTAAATCTTTTAAACTAATATGTAAATATTTAAAAAGTAACTAAGTCATTAATAAAAGAGCGCCACCTGCACCCCTAGTTGTAAGTACAACAGAGATAACAAAAAAAAATTAAAAGATCGACTCATCACAAAAAAAATTATGACGAAATATTTACAATATTTTATAGTGGGTCAGTTTTTTGACTTAAGGAACATGATAAAGGAGCGTTCAACTTTAGGATCAATTATTTTCAACTTTATTAACTGTTGCTCAAACTTTGTATAAAGAATCTTCAGAAACTCAAAAATAAGTAACTAAAATTTTAATATTGATTTTTATTTTAATTTCGATGAAAGTTATAAATAATTAATTTGATCAATACATTTGCAATTGTAAACGACATGCCCGCTGACTGTTAGCTAATCACAAATTGATGATTTTCGTCCCTCACATGAATTCTAAACCTAAATCCTAATTCTGCCAAAATACATATTCTACTGGGAAAAATCCGAATTGAGAATCTAATTTTGGGTATGATATATACAAATAGATCTCTATTGAAATAATAAATTTAGACGAGTTTTTGTTTTATATAAAATGATTGAGATGTCTTAATTTCCTACACCGTACGTATGTATTTACGGCAAATTTACATATATCGATCACAAAAATAATGATCAAAAACCAAATTATTACTACGAGAATTAATATGATAATGAATTACTATCACTATTATTTCTATTATTTAGTGATAATAATAATTATCAGTAATTCAATTTCAGTTTCTTGTCAGAAACATGAACAAAGAGCATATCGTGAATTAATTACCGAACCAGTTATATTCACACCTGATTATAATCAAGTTATTAACCATTCAGCATTACCAGCTGTAAAAGATGAATTATCAATTACACTAAATATAAATGTCTTAAGCCATGGTCCTGATGATCTTGGTTGGCATATGGTTTTTTATAAAGGTATTTACACATAAATATTAATTACATATTAAGATGTCCGTTAAAATAATTTTTTTTTATGCTTAGGTAGAACGGAAGCCAGCCGTACGCCTGCACTCTGGTTAAAACCGAGTGATTCAACTCCGTGTTTACGTCTCTCGATTACTGATAATTTTACCATTGGAATTGATATGGATGGTTATGGATTATTACTTAACCGATGGTACCATATAGCGTACACGCTTTCAGACTCCGAAAAGCGAATATATTTCTATATAGATGGTAAATGGGTTGGATCTTTCAGTCTCAAAAATCCTCAGATAGAATCTATCATATTTAATGATGGTCCATTATATATTGGAGATCACCTCGGATGGAATGGGATTACTGGAAAAATTAGGTAAATATGAATCTAATCAACTAAATTATCAATCTAAAGTTTAAATTGTTGCTTATTTTTTCAAAAATTTTTTTTTAGCAATTTTCGTTATTATAATTTTCGTCTATCTCACAAAGAAGTATTAATGGACTACTCAGTAAGATTTATTTGGTTGACATACATTCGCCGGCAATCATTTCACAAACATCTTAGTTCACAGACAGTTTATTTAACCGACAGGCTAATTTCTCACATAAACTATCTTTAACTTAAACATGTTCTAACCTTAATCTTAGTAGAATTTTATTTTTGTTGATGAAATGAGCTGTCATTAAGATGTGCTTGTCTTTAAAATAAACTGTCTGTGAACTAAGATGTTTGTGAAATGATTGTTTACGAATGTGCAACACCGACATATTTTTAATAATTCTTACAAATATTTTAATTTAGGGTAAAGATCCGACAAAACTTATTGATGATAAATGTCCAAATAAATTTTTTGATGGTTTAGGTATTGGATTTTTTTTTAGTATGATAGCATTATTAGGTATTTTTTTTATACATAGAATGATAGGTCGGAGACAATACCAAGCAATCCCCTAATGCTATTTAATAAAAAATACATGATTTACCGAACTTTCGGTTAGCTACGTAGAAGCTTTTAGGTTACCATTTCATTGCATGTTAAAAAATATCACAATTTAACAATTAACGAATTTATCCCCTATAAAAATGTAATAAATTTAGACTTGACCCGGGTAGGGGTAACTGGTTAAGACATCGATATTGATTCAAAGTTAGTTTACTATATTGGCTTCGTTATGGTGAATATTTTATATTTGACAAATGTTTATAATATTTTTGTTCATTCAATAAGTTTCATTTGATACGATCTTTTCGGATAATATTTTGAAGTTAGATTGTGTATGATGAAACACATAAGAAACAAGACCCTAACGTCACCAATCTAAAGCTTTCACTATCTTGTCAAATTTAAATTCAATATTAGGTGTAACATAAATTAAAACAACTTACTCCAAACCTTAACTCTAATTCTGGCAGCGAAATTTTTTATAGACTGTGATGCTAGGGTCTTATTTCGAAAGGACTAATTTCAGTAAAGTGCAACTTTAGTCTATTTCAGGAATGATAAAAATACAGCTTACATATTAATTTGGGTTTTGTAAAGCCGGTTAAATTTGTTAGTTGCAGACAAAAATGAGGTTTGTAAACTTTCTGCGCGTCAGTCATAAATGAAATTGTATTACTAGTACTCATACAGGGAGGTCTCCAAATTTCCGAGTCGGAATACCTCGGAGTCATGATCGGAAGGGCCAGACTTTACTAAAAAGGTTTCACTACTCATTAATTTTGGCCCAGAAATGGTTAATTTGTAACGACCTAAATCCGATGGATCCGACCCCGTAAAATACCCATGTATAATATATGGTGTAAAATTATGTAATTCAAAAAATTTTGGCCTAGTAACAGTCAAAATACCCTCGGGTATCTTATAAGTTTTTGGGTCTTTTAGTCAGTTCTACAAATATTATAATTAGGAAGAGCCAATACCTTAAAACTAATTTAACTTTGATCATAAACAAGACTTCTACTAATACAGTACATTTAATTAATTCTTTACTTTGAATAAGTTTAGGTTAATAAATCGTATTCACGTGATTACAAGACAATGATATTAGTAATTATAAATGTATTTATGATAGTTTCTTTAGGCCTCCACAAAAATTACCCGTGGATTAGCATGATAAACCTACTTTCAGATAACAGGTACGTAGCTATTCCGCATACCAATTTCAGCTCAAGCACCAATTGTGGAACACACAACCCTTATACATATACTTTTAATTTGTATCGGGTCTTGAACTTTTATAAACAGCCCTTTTCTTCTTGGAAGGGTTATTCACCCTTATTAAGAGCTCATATACCTTATATCCACCTAAATGTGCCTAGTTGATCCATTCCTTGTGTTTTATCAAAATAAGAAACAGTACTACTAATAACGATAAGGTATACGTATACGTCCTACAAATAAAAAAATAAAGTTATTTAGGCGTAGCACCGGATAAATTCAGATCGGATACTTGAATGATGACAATTTTGCAGGGAAAGAGTCCTCGTTATACTCCAAACAATAAAATAAGAAGACGTTGCTTTGCATAGCACGCTAAAATAAACCCGACAAATATAACTTTATTTGTGTGAGTTTGCTGGTTCAAGAGTTATTGCAGTTTGGATTTTATATGTTTTTTATATGTTTACTATTACATTATAAAAAACCTTGATTAATGATCATTATCATACTTACCTGCATTATGTTTGTAATTAGAACGATATAGAACATCCCAGTAATTTGCCGAGAAAAGTCCGATTGAGAATCTAATTTAGGATACGATATATACAAATAAATCTTTATTGAAAATGATAAGTTTAGATGAGCTACTTGAGTGATTTAGATGTCTTTGATTTCCTGCACCTACAAGTTCTTACTACGATAATAATATGATAATGAATTACTATCTCTATTATTTCCATTATTTAGTAATAATAACGATACTTATTAGTAACTCAATTTCAGTTTCTTGTCAGAAACAAGAAAAAAGAGCATATCGTGAATTAATAACCGAACCCGTTAAAATCAATTATGACGATAGACGAGTTATTAGCCATTCAGTGTTGCCAGTTGTAAAAGATGAATTGTCAATTACACTAAAAATAAAACTTTCAAACCTTTGTTCTGATGATTTTTGCAGAGTTTTTTATAAAGGTATTTACATATTACTATTAATTATATATTAAGATGTTCAGTTATATAATTGTTTTTTATATTTAGGTATAGGGGATGACGAAACACCTAAACTCTTGTTAAAATCGAGTAACTCAACCTTGTGTCCACGTCTATCAATTACTGATAATTCTAATACTGGAATTGATATTGATGGTTATGGTTTATTACTTAATCAGTGGTACCATATAGTGTACGCACTTTCAGATTCCGAAAAGCGAATAAATTTTTATATAGATGGTAAATGGGTTGGATCTTTCAGTCTCAAAAATATTCAGAGTCAATCTATCAGATTTAATGATGGTCCATTATATATTGGATATAATCCCAAAGGCTGGCCTGGGATTACTGGAGACATTAGGTAATTATGGAATTTAATCATCAAAATTATCAATCTAAAACTTAAATAATTGCTTATTCTTTCAAAAAAAAAAAAAAAATTAGCAACTTTCGTTATTATAATTTTTGTCTATCTCAAAGAGAGGTATTAATGGACTACTTAGTAAGATTTCTTTTGATTGACATTCATACATTCGCTAGCAATCATTTAAGCTCACGGACAATTACCGTATTTCGCGAATTTTCATAGCTTTGTACTGGATGTCTTAATGGTGTAAATTTTACGTCTTGTATTTTATACTGTCCATGTTAATATCATATTGACAACAATAAATGACTGCCAAAATCAAAAATGTCAGATAAAAACAAGTGAATATTCTAAAGAGGGGTGACTTAGGCCGCGAAATACGGTAATCTACATGCAAGTTTATTTTACAGATAATCAATTCGCAGACAAGCACACTTTACAGATAGTTTATTTCGCTACAAGCCAATTTCTTACATAAACTATCCCTAAACTAAACCTATTTTTAATAGAATTATGTTTTTGTCGGTGAAATAAACTGTCTGTAAGATGTGCTGTCTTTCTTGTGAAATATTTTTTTCTAAATAAACTTGTCTGTAAAGTAAGATGCCTGTAAAATGATTGTCTACGAAGTGAGCAGAACTGACATTTTTAGATTCCATAATTTCTTAAAAATCTTTTAATTTAGGGTGAAGATCCAACGAAAAGTATTGATGATGATGATGATGAATGTTCAAATAAATTTTTTGATAGTTTAGGTATAGGATTTTTTCTTGGTATGATAGCGTCTGTAGGTATTTTTTTTATACATAGAACTATAAGTCGGAGACAATACCAAGCAATAAATACATGGATATATCGAACTTTCGGTTAGCTAGAAGATTTTTTAGATTACCATTTCTTTGCATGTTAAAAAATATTACAATGTAAAATTATCAATTTATCGCTTACTATTCCTCCAAAATAAGAATTTGTTTTGTTTATTCTTGGATATGATGAAAAAATCAGTCATATAGATAGAGATGGGCAAATCACGGTTTTGCCAAAAAATCCCGCGCGTCGCGCGGGATTCACAGATTGTTACCAAGATTACCGTAAGTTTCGGCTGGAATTATGGCATTGGCCCGAATTATCCAGTGCATCACGTGATGAATCCCGCGCTTGCCCATCACTACATATAGAGTTTTCATGCTAAGCATCTGCCGTTAGTACTGTGGATGATCCTCGATTTTGATTGGCCAACGGCCAAAAATTAGGCCAAATGAAATCGCGAAAAAGTGTTCTTTGGCTAATTTTGGAATTAAAAAAATTAAAAAATCAATTCCGGCCAAAATTATGTATAATGCGGGCCAGAATTTTGTCGATCACAGCCGTTGGTCAAGGATCATCCGCAGGTTCAATTAGAAACGTCTCGATCTGTGCTTAAAGAGGGTACGTAGAATTTAAGTTATTTTAAGATAGAGTTTATTCATAACGCAGCGCATTGAAATTAATTTAATTTAAAAGTATTACATAAAGTTTTTACATCTTTGATTTACATTTACGATGATTTGCCACACGCGTTTTAAATAGTACCTACTTATGAAGAAGATTGTATAATAGACAATCCTTGAACGCTTATAAGCGTTGAAAGAATACTAAAAACTGATCAAGACCTAACCATTGGCATTCTGGTGGCGCAGATCGCCGAAGGACAAATAAAGTATTAGGATCATATATAATGTAGAGACACTCACCCATCATAAAACAATGCACTTCGTTGCATTCCGTTCCTGGTATAAGTATATATATATCTGATATATATTTACAATTTTATTAAATCGCACCAATGGTACTCAACACCACATATAGTTTTTAATACTTTCGCTAGTAAAATTTAGAGTTAGGGACCTATAGGTTTATATCTGGCATTGGTTATTTGGCTTGTTTTTGTAATTTTTGAGATATAGCAACTGTGGGGTTGAACACCACTGGCGCGATTTAGTAAAACTGTCTTCCAATTAGTAATAATCTAACATTAAAAGACAACATTAAAAAATTTAGATTCAACGCCTTCAAAGGTTTCATTGCATTAGCAATAAATTATTTCAATAATAATAGTGATTATTTTTCGCTATGTGGACTGTGCACAACACATGGAAACAAAATTTTGCACACATTTTCTTTGCTAATGCCACATAGAAAGGATTAAATAGCGCGCATAGTTGTAAAGAGATTGGAACCACCTAAAATTCTCTTAATTATCGTTAACCGGTTTGACCGTATGAATCGTCTAACAGTTTGACCGTATTAACCGTTTATTACTAATTAAATCACTGGTCTATACTATGGCTATAATCTTGATCACATAATGGGCGAATTTTTTGAGTGACGATTTTAGACTTATATAACCGTTTAGCTCAGCCGGCATTAAGATAATTCTGGTCCACGATAAACGTGATTCCGCCCGGCATTACGAATGTGGTTACAATCCTTAGTAACGGCAATAGTAAATTTTAATTTAAAAATTAACAACGTAACTATTGGGACGTCCCAGATCATGTGATAATTAGTATAGCATTAGTGTTACCTTTTTTTCTTATTGCCGATACTAATTATCACATGGTTTGGGATGTCCCAAATAGTTTGAGTACATCACTGGCATTAATACAGCGCTGTAGTAATCACTGCCTCAATAACATTAATACAAAAAAAAATTTCTTTATTAACTACTGTAAAAGTGCGTATACAAAACCCAGATCTATTTCATTCCACCAATTTGAAACCTTGGTACGTGGCTGAGAGGCTACATCTTGAAAAGGAAAAATTTTACATTAAACTGCATTTTGATTGATAAAGATTTCATGGTTCGCAGTCATTGTAAGTCTACTACGTATTTGTATATCACTCTTATGGTATAAAACTCTACATACGCACAATTTCGAAAAAATTCAATAAGATCTTTACGGAGTGATTGTAAATTTGAATTATAGTCTATTTTGATATAACAGTAGAGATTAAAATATTCCGTGAAATTCTTTTCGTTATGTACTTATGTAATACATGTGCATATCAAAAATTGATTACTAACCTAGATTTTTAAAGATTACACACATTACTAATATTATAATATATAAAAAAATATAAATTTACACATTGAAACGAGATACGTATTCATATAAAAATAATACCAATTTCACATATTTGAACTAATATTTAAAATCAACTTAAGAAAAATGACTAGCATAATTCGTATTGCTGGGATTTGTGGATCTCTTCGTAGAGAAAGTGCTAATAAAAAACTGCTTCTTCGAACTCAGCAACTATGCGCTGAACATGTACCTGAAGCTCGGATTGATATCATTGATTGGAGTCAATTACCTGTTTTTAATCAGGTAAGTTTACAACGTATTATTAAATATCGATGACTTTTCTATATCTTAAATTAATTTTAATAGGATTTGGAAGGAGATCCGCCCAAATCTGTTATTAAATTTAAGGAAGAAATCGGAGATTCTGATGCGGTTCTTTTCGCTACTCCCGGTAATAATAATAAAAAATATTACATTACGGCTAATTTTTGAATGTAATCTAAATAGTAGAACAGATTACTTTGCATTACAATCAGACTCAGCCGTAATGAAATAAAGCATAGCATGGGTAAGCTTCGCTTTACCGACAATGATTTCGTTAAAATATATATATATATTCACCGACATTAGCCAACAAGTTCATTTTGCGAATAATCAGTTATAGACTATGTCTCGTAAAAGATTTTTTTTTCTTTTTTAAAAGTTAGGTGACATCTTCATTTTATGGTATAGTGCGGATCTATTGTCGGTAAAATTGTATCCAAAACATACATACGAACATTCATTTAAGTTCATTCAATTGTATAACTAATTTTTAATGCTATAACTTATAGAATACAATTGGAGTATTCCAGGTAAACAAATTATTCAAAATTTTCAAAAATTTCAAATTATTCAAATTATTCAATTTTTAAAGGTTCATATATTTCAAATAAGTTTATATGTTTGCTTTCACATTATTCATTCTTAATGCTATTATTTACGTAATGTCAAAAGGTCCTTTAAAAAACGCAATCGATTGGGCAAGTCGATCAAAGATTGGCGATCGTGGTGACGTTCTTTCCGGAAAACCTACTGCGGTAATTGGAGCGGGTCCTGGAACTGCACCAGGCTCTTCAGGATCCGGTCGTGCTCAATTGGTACTAAGACAAACTTTAGTTTGTTTGAACATGGTGTCTGTTAACACGTAAGTTTGCTTAAAATAATAATAACTATTTATTATTAAAAGACTTTTTTCAAACCGATAATTGATTTCTTATAATGATAGACCGTCTGTAATGCTAACTGGGGCTTATTCTGCATTCAAAGAGGATGGGAGTTTGGAAAATCGAAAAATGGAAGAAAAAATTATACAACTATTAAAAGAACTTGTGGGTTTACACAATCGTTGCAAAGTTTAATTTTATTTTCAAAGTTTTGTAATACGTATAGCACATATCAAAAATCACAAATAAAAGTGCCACACAGATATTAACGGAAATATGGCTATTTGATTGTACTGTATCACAAAAATTGATTAATAATCAACGCTTACGTGGTCGACTTATTAATACGTAGTAAGAATAACATATTAAAAATTAATGGAATATTCTAATATTTTACTTTTAAACTATAAATGTTAAAAGTAAAATATCAGAATGTTTTATTATTTTGCTGATATATTACTATTATGTTACTAATATCAATCTACTTTCTGATATTTTACTGTTATACTACTGTTATATTATTAATATACATAATAAAATAAAAAGTACATAATAAAAGATTGGTATTGTATTATTTACCTATTATTTATTTATTTAATTTGTGTATACATACTATCATAATAATTAGTAAGTACAGTAAACTAACATTTTTTATTATAGTTATATTTAAATCACTTGTATTTAATACAAAACTAATATTAGAACAGATTATAATTAATCTCTAATCTCTGATTAATTATAATATATATTATATAATCTGATTAAAATAATTTTAACATTAAATTAATTATTAATAAAATAATTCACTTTGATCTTAAATTTTAAATTAATTATTTTTAAATAAAATGAAACAAGTTAAAGAAACACAGTCTTCACAAATATCTTCTAATATAAATATAAAAATATTAATTATATTTAAATTTTTTTATAATTAAAATTATTTAATAAA